GGGGTGTCTCTGCACCCAAAATCCCACCACTGATGAGTCTTCTGGGACTGTGTTGACAATAAGCCTGGGAAGACAGTACATCCATGGGCCCCCCTCTGGGAGAGGATTTTTATAGATGCTTTGACCTCCTGTTCCTTGAGGTCTCTGGGTACTAAAGAGCCTGGACAGGGAGCTGGGGATGGGGTGGGAGTGACCCGTGTGCTTCCGCACCCCATCCTCCTGCTGCTGTCCTGGGGAAACAGAGCTCAGCTCCCTGCCTCTCACCATGGGGGAGGGGAGTAAGGAGGCTGGCCCTCTGTAGGGCTGGGCTTCCCAGACCTGGATCAGCCCCACCCTAGAATCTCCTGGAGGGTAGAGAGGAGAGGGCAGATCCACCCTTTTCTTCCAGCCTGGGTGGTTCTGGGCAGTCCCATCTGTAGGGTTAACCCCTAAGAGGAAAGAAGCATACAACATTGCAACAGTCTGCCAGGGCATAGGTCCCAGGGAGTCTGTAGCAGAGCATGGAGTTGGGAGCCTAGCATGGCACATGCAGAGTGAGAGAGAGCCCATGCCCATGTCTTGGGGCTCAGGCAGGGCTGGGCTCCTTTGCGCACTGACCCTGCCTTTGCACTGCTCCCCTGCAGCCCACAAATGCTGGCCTTCCTCCCCAGGCAGGGGGTACAGCAGCAGCACTGGCCAAAGCTCCTGGGAGGACGACATAGCACTGACCCTGGTGTGCTGGCCTGATGGCTCCTCCAGGCCTCTCCTAGTAATGCCTAGCCTTGGGGCATCAGGATGCAGGCAGGGGGGCAGGGGCAGGGGGAATGGCACAGCCAGCCCCCAAAAGGCTAGAGACAGGGGCTGTCTGGCTGAGAGTTCCTGCTTGAGACAGGGCCTCAGAGGGAGCACAGTGCTCGCCCACAACGTAGAGTTGATAGAAGGAGAATGAGCTCAGTCACAGAAGTTTCCCTTCAATTTCAGGGATTTATCAGGGGCGTCAGAAGGGAGCTATGTGGTGCTTTGTAAATCTGGCTGGGTCCAACGACAGAGGTCTCAGAGCTGATGTTGCCTCCAACCCAAGTGGGAGCATGTTAAGCAATGGGCTTGGCAGACCTGAGGAGGAGGTAACCCTCAGCCCGGACGCTGCCATCCTTTCATCGAAGATGACATGGGGCCTTAAAATCCTCCTGGCAGCAGTAGAGAGACCTGAAGGGAAGTGGTCCCAAAGCCCAGTGTTGCTGGGACCTGGTGGCAGAAATGGTCAGTTCTATGGCTCTGTTCACTGATGGTGGGAGTGGATATAGTGTGATCTTCCTGGAGGGCAATCTAGCAGTATTCATTTGTGCCACAGATATTTACAAAGATCCTACTATGTTTCTGGCACCATGCCTGGTATTGGGCATTCCATTAAAATTTTAAATGCACATAACCCAGCAATCCACTTCTAAGAACATCTTTTGGAAATGCTCATACACAAAAGAGCTCTAAGAAATGCCCATCACAGCATTCTAACTGGGGGTAAACGTCCATTGACAGCAACCTGTTAAATATACCAGGTTCATCCAGCTTGTGAATGTTATACAGCCTTTAAAATGAATGAAGTGGGTCTGAAACACCAACCTGGCACCATGTTCATCATTTATTATCACAGAGAAAAGGCCTATGATCTCAATTTGTAAATATATACTACATCATATATTTTATATATATATTTCCTTTGCAGGTGTATGGAAAAGATCTAGAAGAATATGAACCAAACCACACTTGCCCCACTTATACAGTGGTTGACGCTGTGGGATGGTTACTTTTTATGCTTTATCATTGTTTGTATTTTTACCATGAGCAAGCGTGGCTTTTGCAGATTTAGAAAAGATTTCTTTACTGGAAAACACAGACAGCTTTAGAAGTTAATAAAGGCTCACCTTGTGAACTTTGATCGACAGCAATTCATGTATTATCAGCTCTGCTATGAGGAAGAGGCTGGAAGAACTCAGTCATGTGGCAGACACATGACCTATATGTGACCCAGAGACTAGATACATGATGGACGTGGGAAAGCCTGGACACCTCCAGACATGAGGACATGTGATGCCTGTATGTGAAACCTATACAGGACTGTGACTGGCTCTCAGCATATATAAGATGTCTGGCTGGTTGGGTGGGTGGATAAGCAATTTCACAATGACTGAGAATTCATTTCTTTTGCTTGGTTTAGCAGCTCAAACCCAATGAATGAATAATAAAAGATGAAATCACTGAATGAATGAATGAATGAATGAATGATTGCCTCAGTTAGGGAATGAATGAGCAAATGTGAAGATCTGCCATCAGACATTTGTAAAGATACATACAACTTGGTTAACACCAGAAAGGTGCTCCCTGTGGCTGTGAACTTGAACTTCTTTCTGCAGGGGACCCCCCAGAGGACTGGGGAGTGCAGGAAAAACTGTGAGGCAGGCGGCATGCTGGGGTGCTGGGGGAGGCCCTTGTGCTCCAGGGTCTGAGGGGGGAGGACAGTGGAGCTCTGCTTCAGTGGGGCGCTGGGAGGAGGGCACCACCAAAAACCTCACCTCACCCCGGGACTGAGTCTCACAACTCCAGCTTCCAGCATTTCAGTCTCTGCACCCAGCATCTCCTGGTCTCGGTTTCCCTGTTTGTACAAGGAAGAGGTCTACTCCTTCTAGCTCTGGTAGAATGTAGCTCTCTGTTTCCCAAGTTGAGAGGGGCAAAGGAGGTAAGAGAGTTCAGAGAACCTCCTTGACTCCCACAGACTTTCCTCCACTCCTCCTCAGCCACGCTCTCAAACGGGCACACCTGATCCTGTCATTCTGATAACCTCAAACCTCCCACGCCCTGGACATCACCTCCTATTCTTCCAGCTCAGGTACTGTATCAGTCTCATGCCAGCGATTCCCTGAGCCCACTGAGGCCTCCAAGCCGCTGGCCTTAGCTCCTCCGCCCCACCAGCCATGTCCTCCCTGCCTTCCTTATGCAGCTTGGAGTCCTTGATTCAGCCGGGTAATCACCACCCCGCAGCTAACTCCTTTACCCTTCTCTCCATCCATCATATGTACCTGGTAAAACCCCACACTCTGGTTGAAATCAGCTTTTGCTCAAGCACCAGCACACCTGTGTGATTGGACTCACTTCAAAATCAAAACTGTGAATCTCAAGCGGACCCCCAATTTCTCCATCCCACCTTAGAAGGTTCACTTTCTCTCTCTGCAGAGAGACTAATTCATGCCTTCTACTCTCCTTGAGTCTCCCACAGTCCTGACCTCAACTTCAGCTGGTGATGGCATCACATAAATCATTTAATCACAAGAGAACCACCCAATCTCCCCCGCCCCTCCCACCTCTGGTTACGGTGGAAGCCAAATCCCACACCGCCAGCTGCTTTCCACCCCCTTGGGCCTTCTGAAGACCTCACTCCCGCAGGCCCTCCAGCACCAGCCTTTTCCCGTCATTACTGGGCCTTTATCACACCACCTGTACGTAAAGATGCTCACCACACGGCTTGGAGAAGCCCGTCCCTGACACTCCCTTGGCCTGAGTGTGCTGTTCTACTTCCTCCCCCCTATTCCTGCTCCTTCCCGCTGCAATCAGCTCTTTGTCTCCATCATTACGTGAATTGGCTCTTGTCCACAACACCAATAACCTACATCTCGCCGAAGCCAAAGCTCAGCCCTCTGGCCTCATTTATTATCAGTGGCCTTTGACGCACTTGGCTCCTGCTCCTTCGGGAAAAACTTCCCTTCGTGGACTTCCCTGGTTTTCCCCCTACTCAGGGCTGCTCTTTCTCAGGCTCCTTCCCTTTCCCCTCCACCATCTCTAAACCATAGTTGACCCGAAGGTGTCGTCTTAGGCCCTCTCGGCCCTCTTGTCTTTGTCTTCATTGACTCCCACAGCGGGTCTCATCCAGTTCTGTGGCTTCACAGACCATTTCGGATCTGTATCTCTGGCCAAGACTTCTCCCTTGATCTCCAGACTTATATATTTAACTTATGCTTTACTACCTATCACCTCCACTTGGATGCCTAATGAGCATTTCACAGCCAAAACTAGGCTCTGATTTCCCTCCACCCCACCCCAAATTCAGTCCTTCCCAAGTTGTCACATCATAAATAAATGGCACCTCCAGCCAGCCAGCTGTTCAGGCCAGAAAGCTAAGTTATTCTAATAAGTTTAGCTTTCCCTCACTTCCTCATCCTGCCTCCAAAATAGACTAGTGCCCACTTTTCACCATTTCACAGATACAGCCGGAGACCGAGTCACCCCGAAGTCTAGCCTAGGCTATCCTAAGGACGTCCCGGCTGGCTTCCTGTGTCCACGCTTGTGTCATCCTGCCCCCTGCAGTTCATCCTACACACTGCAGCCAGGGAGGTTTCTCTGAAGCAGAACTAATACTTGTCATTCCTCTGCTTAAAGGCCTCTGAAGGTTGTCCATTGCACTTGAAATAAACTTCAAACCCCTGACTGTGGCCTCCAGGACTTACAAGGCGCGGCCCTTCTCAT